CTGGGATTTAGGCATGCTTCACCATGCCCAGTTTCTTTTATACTTTTAAATATGTGTATACATCTGTTTCTTGGTGTAGCAGTTTTGGATGATATCTTAAGACTTAGAGCTGTGAAAGTTAAAGAATCAAAGAATCCATATTCTTTTTTTTTTTTGTACCAGGGATTGAACTCAGGGGTGCTTAACTACTGAACCACATCCCAGTTCTTTTAAATATTTTATGTAGAGACAGGGTCTTGATGAGTTGCTTAGGGCCTCACTAAGTTGCTGAGGCTGACTTTGAACTTGTGGTCCTCCTGCCTTGCCTCCCAAGCTGCTGGGATTACAGGCATCACCATGCCTGGCTAAGAATCCATATTTTTATGTCATCTCTCTCCTGTACTTGTTAGCTATATTATTTCTTGGCTCTTTTTTTTAAAATATTTTTTAATTGTAGATGAACATAATACTTTTATTTTATTTATTTTTATGTGGTGTTGAGGCTCAAACCCAGTGCCTAGCACATACAGACAAGTGTTCTACCACTGAGCCACAATTGCAGTCCCTCTTGGCTCTTTTTTAAGCTTTCCAACTCCTTTACTTGCTCTTTCAATCCTGTCTTCTGTTTTCAACCAGACCAGCAGCATCCTTTTTGATGGTTCTGAAATGATCTTGACTTCTGAGATGCTTTGTTTTTTTAAAAAAATTTTATTTTTTTTTATTAGTTGTTCAAGACAATACAATGATCTTGACATATCATATATTTGATTCAAATAGGGTATGAATTGTCATTTTTCCATGTGTACAGATGCTTTGTTTTTTAAAATACTTGTTTCCCAAACTCTGCCAGTGCCATCTCCTCCATTTTTAAAAATTTTTATTCTTTATAATATTTTTTAAAATATTTATTTTTTTTAGTTGTACACAATACCTTTATTTTGTTTATGTATTTTTACGTGGTGCTGAGGATTGAGCCCAGGGCCTCACACTTGCTAGGCAAGCATTCTACCGCTGAGCCACAACTCCAGCCCTATTCTTTGTAATACCGTGTCCTTGCTTTGATCTCATTCTAAAATGTCCTGAGCCCTTTAAGTTCTTTTTTGTTAATGATTATCATCTATTTCATGTTAATTTTCATCTTTTTATTGATGTCTTTCATCTGTCATTTCTTTTTCTTATTCCCTGCCTACCCCTCCCACAATTTTTTGTAATATGTATACATAGATTTGGTGCTATTTTTTTTGTTATAATTCCTTTTGATAAAATTATTACAGAATCTTAGGTGTGAAAATACTACAGAGAGGTCTCTGGTATTCTTCACCCAGTTTGCCTCCAAAATAATATCTTTCATGACTATAGTATAATATCAAAACTAGGAAATTGACACAGGTACAATCCACAGACCTTATTTTTCTAAGCCCTCAGTTTTACATGCACTTGTTTGTGTGAATATATAGTGAATGTATAGGCCTACTATAACTCTTCTTTAGATGCATGCTAGGCAATTGGTATACCATGGAGCAACACCCCCAGAACCTGGGTCTTTCTTCCAGTTGTCTTCACTGCATTACGTATCCTTCTGTTTCTCCCTTGGTTGGCCAGGGTGTGAGTAGCAGATAAACCAGCTAAATAGGAATGGCAGATCTGGTGATATTTGAAATCAGTTTTCCACTGAGGATCCTATTGCAAAATCAAACTGAGGTTCTGTAATCAATTGCCATCTTTAATCTAGAAGAAAAAAAATACTTTTCCCTCGTCGTCTTTATTTTTAGAAGAACCCTAGAGTCATTTCTATCACCAAGGCCCTTCAACATTTTTTGTTTGTTCATTTTTTTATTTTTTAAACATTTATTTTTTAGTTGTAGTTGGGTACAATATCCTTATTTTCTTTCTTTATTTATATGTGGTGATGAGGATTGAACCCAGGGCTCTGCACATGCTAGGTGAGTGCTGTACCACTGAGCCACAATCCTAGCCTCTATTTATTTTTTTGATACCAGGGATTGACCCAGAGGTGCTTAACTACTGAGCCACACCCCCCTTTAAATAAATTTTTATTTTGGGATAGGGTCATGCTGAACTGCTTTGGGCCTTGCTAAATTGATGAGGCTGACTTTGAACTTTCAATCCTCCTGCCTCAGTATCCTTAGCCACCAAAATTACAGGCATGAGCCACCGCTCCTGTCTCCTTCAACATTTGATGCCTCATTAAGTTGAGGGCTTCCATTTTGCTGAGTTGGCCAGATTATCCTGATTTAACAAGACTTCAGGGACAATACCATGCACCCATTCTTCAGGGTCTAGCAAGTTCTTAGTCTCAGAGTGATCCCAAGGCTAAAGTGGATGTTTCTACCTCTAGCCCAGAAACCTGCTTTTCTTTAAGATGGCTCCAAGACTTTTGCAGTCATTTAGCCACTTTGAACCCTAGTGTTCTTGAGCATGAAGTTGGGATTAAGCTCACTCACTACCTTGTGGTATTTGTGAGGATTAATTGACATGAGTATTTTATAATAAAAGATTCACAGATTCAGTGCCTTTCCATTGTCCCCTCCTCCTTCCAGAATCTCATTATGACATCAGTAGATTCTGAGAATGAGGCTTCCAGCTGTTGTGGCAGGGTATAAGGAGAGGAAGAAACTCTTTCCATGCCACTGAGGGAAGTTGTTTGTTTCTAGTGTAATTGGATCCTTGGGGGAAGATTAGTCATATTATCCTTGAATGCATTGTATCATTTGCCAACTCAAGAACCATGAGGAGACGTAAGGTGTCTCATTACTGGCAACTCCTGAAGGAGGAACTGGTAAGGAGGATCAAGGGTTCTTGAGGGAATTCCTGAGAGGGAGATTAAACAAACAGGCATTTTGGGGAACAGGCAGGTAGGAGGGACCTTGGATGAGTGGTGGCCACCTGTACTTTTTAGAGTCACAGCGTGGCACAAAGGAAGGTGTTCCAGAAGGAGCTCAGAAGGACTAAATTCTGACCACTGTCCTATAGCCTCCTACCTTCTGGACACTGGGCAAGCCACCAGGCCACACTCTGAGTCTTAGAGTCCTGTTCTGTACCCAGTCTTTAGAGGCAGAGAGAATAAGACCAGGGTAGCAAGGTAAAATAATAGAGTAAGCTGTGGACTTGGGTTTAGAACTCCATTATCTATTAGTCATGGCAAGTTCCTTCGTTTGCTGTGCCTTTGTTTTCTCCTCTATAAAAGGGCACTGATAATATTAGGACCTATTGTATAAATTTACTGTTGAGGATTAAGTGAGTTAATACATATTCTAATAATGCCTGACATTACTAAATTATACTCAATAAATTATACTCATTATTTATTTAATAAATAAATAAACATTTATTTATTAATAAATCGCATTAATAAATTACCTTTCCCCATATTTCCTTTAGATATCTAGTTTTTTAATGAGATAGAATACTACAGTTGCAGGAAAAGCCCTTCTATTTCTCTTCACTGGTAATCACTTTCCTGAGTTTGGTGTTATCATTCCTGTTTACATTTTTGTTATTGTATATGTATATATCCATAAAAAACATATAGTGTACATAGGACACTTTTTAATTTATTTATTTATTTTAATATTTATTTTTCAGTTTTCGGTGGACACAACATCTTTGTTTGTATGAGGTGTTGAGGATGGAACCCGGGCCTCACGCATGCCAGGCGAGCGCGCTACCGCTTGAGCCACATCCCCAGCCCCGTCTTTTTTTTAAAAAGACACCTTAAATGACATCATAGTTCACTCCCCCCCATTCAAAGTGATTTCAGCTTTATTTACATTGATACACACAGTCTAGTGTTATGTTCAATCCTGTGACTGTCCCTTAATATGTCAGTCCCTTCCTCTACTGATGGACATTTAACTTATTTTCGGCCATTCACTTAACAAACAGTGCTGCCATGAGTATTCTCCTGGCTCTCTCCTTGTGCGCATGTGAGTTTCTCTAAGTATATATATAAAGTGTATAATTTCTTGATGGTAAATTACACATATCCTCAACCTTATAAAATGTTGCCACATTGCTCTACAACATTGTCATACCATGTTTCCCATTTTTGCAATATGTGTAAAATAGTATCTTATTATATTATTTACATTTCCTTTATTTCTAGTGATGTTAAAAATCTTTTCATAATTTATAGTTGATTAGAATTTTCCTTTGAATTACTCATTCATAGTTTTTGCTCATTTGTTTTTTTTTTAAAGAGAGAGTGAGAGAGGAGAGAGAGAAAGGGAGAGAATTTTTAATATTTATTTTTTAGTTCTCGGCGGACACAACATCTTTGTTGGTATGTGGTGCTGAGGATCGAACCCGGGCCGCAAGCATGCCAGGCGAGCGCGCTACCACTTGAGCCACATCCCCAGCCCCTTTTGCTCATTTGTTATTGGATTATTTATATTTTTTGTATGATTGTGTATTTTAAAAAATTCTACGTAGTTAACCTTTCAGTTATATGTAGGGTAAATATATTCTTTCAATCTGCAGTTTGTCTTTTCACTTTGTTTATGATGTGCTTATTAATAGAAGTTAGTAAACAAGTTTTTAATTTAATTTTTGCATTTTTAAATGAAAATTTTTAAATGTAAAATTTGAAAAAAATGTGTAATGATTATATATTAGAACTCTCAAATCAACATTTTGCCATGTTGGCTTTTTTGTGTCACCCCCCCACCCCATGCTGTCTGCAGTTACTTGTGCCCTTTATTTTCTGGATAAAAGTGAAAGACTTCACATTTAGGTAGTAGTATGTTAGTGAGTGTTTATAATGCTGATTTCTAGAGTGAAGAATGCCCTTATTTGTAATAGTTTTTGCCAATTTCTGTGGCATTAATACTCTCACTGTGGCTAGTTTCAAGCTACCAACATAATTTCAACAGGCAACCATTTCTTCAGCACATCATAGCATTTAATCCTGTTAAATTTCATCTTGTTCAGTGCCATCCAGCCTTCTTTTGACTGTTGTTAACAGATGATCTCCATTGATCTTGTTCGCTTTGTTTCTACAGGGGCTGTACCAACTTACCATGGATATCATAATGATGATCCGAGTGTGTAAAATGTTCCGCCAAGGACTCAAGGGATTCCGAGAATATCAAATCATTGAGGTCCCTCACAGAAAGCATCCTCTCTTCTCCTTTTGGGATGTAAGCATCTGGCTTAGTAGGATTGTTAGGATTTAAGGAGGTCTAATATATAGCACCCCATTTCCCAGCCCATGCTCAGAATCAGCTGAGAGAAAAGACAAAGGACAAAGCAGATATGAGATCCAGCAATCAGTTTTTATTATTAATGACAGACTTATATTGGAGAAGGTGGGACTTCTATCATCAAGCAAGAGAGTTACCTAATACCCTCAGAATTAGCCTTTCATGCCTTGTGGCAGGCAATGCTGAATGAGGCAGGTTTCCAGTGCAATGTGTTTAGCAGAATGTGAATTCAGAAGAAAGAAAAAGGAAATGATCACACCAAGATTCTCCTTCCAAACTTACCAAGGAATTCGTCCTTCCTTTTCCATAGGTATATTAACAGTGTTCTACTAATACCCATCTTTGCATATAGAAAGAAACATAGAAATGAGGAAGACATGGTCTGATTCCAAACATGATCATAGGAGCCAAAAAGAATCTAGGAGCCACAACAGAGCCAGGGTTTTCTGAATACCACAGATTATATACCATCTTTACTTTCTTTCCTATCGTCCCAAAAGGGAACATTTTCAGGGCCATGTTCATTGTGGTGGACCCTGCTTTTAGACTTTCTAGAAGTTCCCACTTAAAAGTATTTTATCCCAGTAGTAGATCAGGGGTCTTTTTGGCTCATAAATGGTGAAAATTTGGTCACCATTCTGTTAACTTGACCTGGTTCCCTGAAGATATGTCATGTCATTACTGTATTCCCATTGGTGTGTTCCCAGGCTTTAGCATTTCCCCAGCTAATACATGGAAAAGCCCTGCCCATTTTCTTCTTGTGCCAAGAGTGATTAGACCCAGAACTCCTCTCCACCCCTCACATCTTGTCCAAGAAATTTCCCACAGTGATTTCTGAAAGATAGTGGCTAAAGAAGAGAATGAGGATGGTAATGGGGGGAGTAGGAAGGTAGCCTTCCGTTGGTTTCTAAGGGGTCAGCAGGTGATCTAACTGATGTGTGTGGTAGCTAAGTTAAGATACAGCAGGAAAGCCAGCCCAGTGGCATATGCCTGTAATCCCAGCAGCTTGGGAGGCTGAGGCAGGAGGATCATATGTTCGAGGCCAGCCTGAACAACTTAGCAAGAGCCTGTTTCAAAATAAAAAAAGACTGGGAATGTAGCTTACTGGTAGAGTGCCTTCAATCTCTAGTACTGGGGTTGGGGGGCAGGAAATGGATAGATAGATAGATAGATAGATAGATAGATAGATAGATAGTAGGGTGTAGAGCTTATGAGCCAGTTGGAGAAGGAAGATATGCCCTTTCAAAATATATTCAGGTTTATCTATTTTTAGATATGCTGGACAAGCCAAAGAAATCTATAGCCACATGATTTGGGCCATTAGGGAAGAGATGGAATAGAAATATAATCTGAGAGACTCACATTTGCTCCCAGGAAGGACAAACTGATTTTCAGGGTGGCGTGCTGTGGTGAAGCAATGAGCCCTGGAGATCGGGGACTCCCCAGGAGATGCAGGCTGCTGCATGCTTAAGTTGGAAGCTAAAGACCCAGATTTAGGCTTAGCATGAAGCTAAACCTAACCACATTGCCACATGGAGTGACTTTGGGCTGAGCAGAAGCTTTGCAAGGGCAGTCTACCAGGGGTCAGGCGGAGAGCTAGGGACCAGAGCACAAAGTAAGGTAGACAGCCAGAGGCTGGTTTTCAGTTAAAAGTAAATCAATATTTTAGAGCATCACCACTTCTTTCAGTGGCCTCCCTGAGAAGCATTGCATGGATACAAAAATGCTAAATTGTGGTAGGGTGAGGAGTATGCAGGGATCTCAGCGGGATGTAGGGAATAGTATGAGATATACCTCTAGGAGAATGAGCTTCCTGGTTTGACCCAGAATGATGGTCAGGGCCTTGATTTTTTTCCTTCCCCGCTTTCTATTTTTCTCTACTCTCCACATCCTCTATCATCTGTCAGAAGGTAGGGTTGGATTAGCTCATCCCTGAGATATGTTACCCCTTCTCCTGGCCATGCTCCAGGAAAAGCCTTGGGTTCAGATCCACCTGACCCACTTATTTGCTGTGAGGTCCTTTAAAAAGTTCCTTCACTCACCTCAAGCCCAAAATAGGGCTTTGTCCTAATGACTAAACAGAGTAAGGTAAAAAAGGTGTATCATGCTTGGCTCACTGTACACATTTTACAAAGCTTGCTTCATTTGTTCCTTTTTATCCCTGCTCCTTTTCTATATGTATTTTCTTGTTTGTTTTCTTCTTTTCCTTCTTCCTTTTCTCTGTTAATCATCTATTTTCTCTGTACCCTTTCTTCCTTTCTCTGCCTTCACAATAATGTTGATGGCTGTGGCTGGAAAACAGTGTAGTGCTGAGTTAGGGCTTTTTTTTTTTTTTTTTTTTTTTTTTTTGGTACTGGGGATTGAATCCAGGGGCACTCTTAACCACTGAGCTACATCCCCAGTCCTTTTTATTTTTTGAGACAGGGTCTTTTTATATTGCTGAGGCTGGCCTCAAATTTGCAGTCTTTCTGCCTAAATCTCCTGAGTTGTTGAGATTATGGGTGTATGTTGAGTTGAGGCTTTTTACATAGAAGGGCCAGCTGGTAGGGCATTTCTTATTGCTTCCTGCCCACCGTAGTGATTCAGGTACACAGAAGGATCTCAGATACAGAATTCCAGGAGTAGTCTTACTGACTCTCCTTTCTCTCCCTGCCTCATTTCTTTCAGAAAAAGAAGCAAGGCCGAATTATATTTGATACTGAGGACTTTGTTGCTGAGGAGGTATGCACACCTGTAATATAGTGGGGGGGATGTTCTGTTTGTATTATAGTCAAAGAAGCACTAGGTATCAAGAGAGCTGGTTTTGGTCCAGACTCTGCCATTTATCCATTATGTCACCTCTGAGCCACTTTACTTTCCTCATCTATAGATGATTTTAGTGACATTGTCCAGCCCTGGCATTCTAAGACTGTGAGCACCTCTGAACCTGTTGTCACTGAATAACTGAGTGGAACCAGTTGTCACTGAATAGCAGAGTTTCTGGGTTTGGACTCATGGGAAAACAGAAGAAAGCAAAATAGGATGTGAGAGACCCAGACAAAAGAGAAGGAAGCCAGGTGATGGAAAAATTCTTGACCTGAGTGAGAATTCTGGTTCTGTGATGAGCACTCTGAGAGATGTCTGGCACACCTGCCCCCATATGGGTGTTGGATGCCCTTTAAGTTTTTCATTCTGATGAGGGAATGGCTTTATATCTGTGTGAGGCTTTACACTGTGTGACTTATTCTGTAAATTTCAGGCATCATTATTATCTTCCTTACTTCTACCCACCAAATCTTAGATGTTAAATTAAAATTAAAATTCCAGTTTAAATTTCAAGGAAACTACATAGGAAGATTTGAAGTTCTCATTAATGCAGCCTACTTGACCCTGGTCTTAGAGTAGCCATGTTGATTTTTCTCTCAGGGAAAGAGGAAAAAACAGAACCTTAAAATTGGTACTAGAAACACCTGTGCCCATCCTTGTTCTTCCCCTCACCCTTTTGGAGCCAAAGTATGGTTTCTATTGCCTGCTTCTCCTGGACATAATCTTATTTCTTATGTCCTCTCATGAATGAAGCATAATCAGGTAAGTCTTCCAAATTCTGTATTTCTTTAGATTTCAAGATCAGCCAGTGTCTGACATTGGGCATTGAAGATTACCCAAGTTTTATGTGGGGTCCTGTCTGAGAGCCACAGAACTCTAGAGCTGAGGGCACTTCTGGGCAAAGCAGTTGATGGATAGAAGAGGGCACACAGGGAAAAATCCATTGTTATAGGCAAGGCTTATAGGTGGCAATCTAGTGAGTCATGTGTGATTAGTTCCAGTATTGAGAACATCTTGACTAAGACATGAGCAAAGTTTTCTGATTACCAATGTGCTTGTGCTGAAAGGATGCTACAGGGTCCCTGGAGTCTGAGGAGCCCAAATTGCCTGGGAGTTTTGAACTTTGGCATGTGGCAGATCTGCTCATAATTCTGCCTGAGTATTTTCATTTTTCAAATGAGCATAATGATTCTTGGACTGAATGGGGATGCAGTGAGATGAGTGTGTAAGATGCTTGTCCCAATGTCTGGCAAACCCTAAGCATTCAGTATATGTCAGCCATTATTGTATGGGGATACAGGAAAGCATACAAGCAGGAATGTGGGGAGAAACTGCTTGTCCTCTGTCACTCTGGGCCTCTCTCCTTAGGGTCACTTCCCTTCAAGGGCCATTCAGATCACGCAGAAGAAGCCTTCCTGGAGGACAGAACAGGAGATCCAGGCTCTCTGCAATGTCCTACAGGTTGTGGATAGCTACCGGAACTACACAGAGTCCCTACAACTGCTCTTGGCCAAGGTCATGCGCTTTGAAAGGTCAGAGAGGGGCATACCTCTGGCCCCTGGGCTTGGGTGGGACTGGACTGGGCAGGAAGAGCCTGACTGAGAAGGTGTGGGAGGGTCTACCCACCCCTCTGAAGAGTATCGGCAATGAAGTCTGTCAGTTTTCCTGGGTGTTTACTGTTATGGTGACAGCACAGCTTATTTTATTCACTTACTGAATCTTAGATTTAATGAGCCATTGAATCTGAAGAGGCTTTAGGAAGAACCTCTGAAAGTCCATTTCCTTCATTAGTCAGATGAGGAAACTGAGGTCAGTGAGGGAAAAGACTTATCCTAGACACCCAGTGTCTTAGTCCATTTTATGTTGCTAATAAAAATACTACAGACTGGGTAGTGATCTAAAAAGGGAGGGGTCATAGTCTGATCTAAATTCAAGGGGCCACATCTAGTGATGATGACCTTCTCTTTGGCAAACTCCCAAGGAATCATATGGTGAGAGACTGGGAGAAAATATTAGATAAAGTCATACAGATGGAGTCAACATGACAGAATATTGGTAGATATAAAATATCCCGGCTCTCTCATAAATCTACCAATATTCTGTCATGTTGACTCCATCTGTATGACTTTATCTAATCTTTTTCCCCCTGTGCTGGAGATCAAATCTGAGTCTTGTACATACTAAGTGCATTCTCTACTACTGAGCTATACCTCTATCCCAATCTTATCTAATCTTAATCACCATCCAAAGGCCTTACATCTAACCATCATAACTTAATCCTACTATTACTCCACATTGGAATTAAGCTTCAACATGAATTTCAAAGGGGACAAAAGCAAATTTAAACCAGAATTTGTACTAGATAATAAGAAGCAGAGCTAAAACTCAAAATCCAGGCTTTGAAAGCCAGAATGGAACACAGATGATTATGCTGTATATCCAGGTAGGTCTTAGAATAGGGTCTGTGAATTTCCTTCTTTTTCTTTCTTTCGTTCTTTTTTTTTTGGTACTGGAAATTGAACCGAGACTTGCTTTACCACTAAGCCACATCCCTAGTCCTTTTTATTTTTTATTTTGAGACAGTGTGTCACTAAGTTGCTAAGCATCTAGCTAACTTGCTAAGGAAGGCCTTGAACTTGTGATCCTCCTATCTCAACCTCACAAACTGCTGGAATTACATGCATGGGCCACCATGCCCATGGGATCTTAATTTTAATGACCAAAAAAAATCTTTATTTTCATTAATCTCTAAATGAAATTTATCAGTGTATCATTTTCTTCCTTTTTTTATTTAAAAAAAATCCTTGTTTAGATGAACACATAGTATTTATTTATTTTTAATGCGGTGCTGGGATTGAACTCAGTGCCTCACACATTCGAGGCAAGCACTTTACCACTGAGCTACAGCCTCAGCCCCATTTTCTTCCTTCTTAAAGGTAAGCAACAAACATACTTTTTCATTAAAGAAATTTGATTTTTCACATCATTTTCCAGTTATGGCAGATTTCTTTTTTAAAAGTGTGTGTGTGTGTGTGTGTGTGTGTGTGTGTATGTGTATACGTATACGTATATACACATTTATATGTTTAGTTGTAGATGGATATAATATCTTTAGTATTTATTTTTTATTTATTTTTGTGTGGTGCACAGGATTGAACCCAGTGCTTCACACATGCTGGGCAAGCACTCTGAGTTACAACCCCAGCCCTATAGCAGATTTCTTGAAAAATAATTTATGTTCACATCTTTAAAATCAAGGTAGTCATTTATCTTCTGCTAGATCTTGTTATTCACTGCTTTAGCAAAGATACATATTTGTCAGCTGTCACTCTGCTGGATTTTATTTTACATACTTAAAACATCATTCTATGAAGATTTCACCAGACTATCAAAGGTCTGTGACACAAAAACTACCATGTAAATAACTTGTACCAAAGAAGTCTAAGGGGTGGGAATGTGGAAATATTGCCATTTCCAGGACATCTCAATGGCTTCATGGGGCAACCTAACAGAATATTTGAGGTTAGGCCTATTTTGAAAATCCAGGATATAAGATTATTATAGTTCATAGACATCCTCCTTCATGCTGGTCAGTCTATGACATAAACACAACAAGTCAGCTTTTTTTTATCACTGGTGCAGGATACTTTATGCCCAGTGATGTTCAGGGCAAAGCTGGCTTGGTCACAAGTTTCAAGAGGAGATAATTGAACAGTTTGACTTGTAGATGGAGGTATGGAACAGAACATTCCAGGCAGAGAGGACCATTTGCTTTGTTCTAGTCCAAGGAAGAAAAGTAGGTTACCACTGTCTGTAAAGACTCCACAGCAGAGTGGTGCCAAAGGTACTTTGCTTGAAGCTCAGGAATTTGATGCCCCATCTGTCCCAGTGTGATCTCAGCCAAGCCACTTAACTTTTCTGAGCCTCAGTATCTTCATCAGAGAAATAAGGATGATAATATGGATTTGATTGAGGATGGTAATAAGATCTGGGGGAAGATCAAGCAAGTGGTGATCATTAAAGCCCTCTGATGGTTGTTGATTATTTCTGGAACTGGAATTAACAGCTTAGACAGGATTCTCTCCCATTTGCAAATCTGAGAAAACAGCCCAAGGGAATGCATTGGTGGCTATGAAAAGTCCTGGGATGTTTCTTCAGCTTCAGGCTCAGCTGGATTTAGGGACTCAGTGTTATCAGGATCCAATGTTTTTCTGTCTCTCTCCCTGTCTCTTGATTCTTCATTCATATAAATCTCCCTGTCAGGGGCTAGAGTTGTGGCTCAGTGGTAGAGCACTTGCCTAGCATGTGTAAAGCACTGGGTTTGATTTTTCAGTACTACATATAAATAAATGAATAAAATAAAGGTTCATCATTATCTTTAAAAAAAAAATTCCCTGTCAGTCACCCTCTCCCCTCATCCAAGCAAGTTGGCTGCCATAGTCGTAGCTTCTAACTTCTATCCAGTCTTACTCCAGTGGGAAACAAAAGAATACCTCTTCCCAGTCACTCAAAGTCATAGCCTTGGCCTTAGTTCTTCCTGAACCAGATTGGCTTTTCCTGAAACATCTGTGGGGTCTGAGTTTAAGAACTAAATCCTAGTTTGCTCTAGGCCAGGGTACTTCTATCCTAAGGGTGTGCAGTTGGGTAGTAAGCTACTGGGGATCATAATAAGACTACTGACCTCTCTCTTTCCAGACATGCTCATTTGTATCTTACAGATAAGAGAAACTGAAGGTCAGAGAGGGACCCTGAGCTTCCCAGTGTCACACAGCCAAGGGTCATACATAGGATTTGGATGCTAATCTGACTCTAAAGGGCTCATAATCATTTAGCTTCTCTGTTGACCCATCCATTGCTTTCACGTCTCTTTATTACTCAACTGCTGTTCACTTAGCATTTACCATGTGTCTAAGCACATACAGCATGAACAAGTCTGGCCAAGGCTCTGCTGTATGTAAGAAGACTTCAGTCTAACCAAGGTAGGCAGCAGGTTAGGTATTAGTGAAGGGGTCTAACTTGAAGGACAGGAACTGGGCTGTTCTGAAGTTTCTTCTAGTCCAGAGCAAAGAGCCCAACAATTCAGAGCTTTTCCCTCTTGCTACCGGGTCAACTGGCCATGGTTTTTTCCCAGGTTTGGCCGTAGGCGTGTGATTCTCAAGAAGGGACAGAGGGGTAGCAGCTTTTATTTCATCTATGTGGGTACAGTTGCAGTGACTGAGGATGAAGATGGCAGCAGTGCCTTTCTAGACCCCCGTCCAACATTGCTGCACAGGGGCAGCTGTTTCGGGGTAAGTCCAGGGGAAGGGTATGGCTTCCTGACCTGGGGTTAGGAGTGTGACAAGAGTCTTGCTCAAAATTCTTGACCAGGGCCTGTCCTGCCTTACACTCTGTGCAAGTCACTGATCCACTTGGGTCTCAGTGTCCTTACATGTCATATATATTATGAGTGAGTTGGACCAGATAATGTCCAAAGTTAACCTTTTTGTCTCATGATAAAGGAGCATGTTCCCCATATAACCTCTCAGAAATTCAGTGAATGGATGGCCTCCATGAGGCCTCTCCAGTTTCCTGGCTGGCCTATTCAGACCTGTTGCCTCATTTTCAACAAGCAGCAAATGAAGAGTGGGGCACAGTGAGGGAACAAGCAGGAGTATGGAGGAGGCCAATGAGCCTGCATTCTGGGGAGGAAAGAGTTCAGGGGGAAATGGAAAATGTGTACAGGGGTATGAGCAGAACACTGGAGGTGCTCACGTGTGCCCTTGTCTCTAACCACCCAACAGGAAATGGGCCTTCTGAATACAGGAACAAGGAGGGCCACTGTGGTCTGCTTTGAGGACACAGAGTTCCTGGTTGTTGACAGGGAGGATTTCCTGGCTAATAAGCTGGATGAAGAAGTTCAAAAGGATGCTGAGAGTCGGTTTAAATTTTTTAGGTAACTCCATTCAACATTTTTCTACCCTTCTTTGTTTTTAGTGCTTGCCTTTGTCCTAGGCATGATGGGAAACATACAAGAATACATAATGAAGATTGAGTTCTTGTTGGGTCAGGCAGGGTGCCAAGAACTTTGTACCACTTGTTGCATCTAATCTTACATTTAAACCCATGAGATTGTTTCTCTTACTTTCCTCAGTTTATAGAAAACCAAGTTTCTCAGTTTTAAGAGAAAGCCAAAGCTCAATTTGATGATATGCCCAGCGTGTCTGATTCAGAAGTCCCTGAGCTTCACTAATTCATGCCACTTTTCCTTGACCCAGAATAGAAAGGATGCTCCATCTGTGCTTCTCTTGCTTCCTGTTTCTTTAAAATCCCTGTCTATACTGTAATTCTTTCATTGCACGATAGTTTCTTTATAGCTTATATGCCCCATCAGACTATAAGCAATGTGGTGGCCAGGACAAGATTTGTCTTTTTCACTGTTGCCAGACACATTAACAAATAAATATTGAATAAAATGAATAACAGGATATAAATAATTACAACCATGTGTGGGTGAGAAAGTACTATAGGTACTCTATATAACATCCTTTTTTTTTTTAAAGAGAGAGAGAGAGAGAGAATTTTTAATATTTATTTTTTTTTAGTTCTCGGCAGACACAACATCTTTGTTGGTATGTGGTGCTGAGGATCGAACCCGGGCCGCTTGAGCCACATCCCCAGCCCCTATATAACATCCTAAAAGCAGAACTCATATATAGCACAAGATTTTTATTTTGAGTACTTTCTGAAAGACCACATAAAGATGTGTAAACTAAACCTTATTTGTTCTTTGGTTATTTGCTTTTATGTGGAAGAGAGGAAACCCAAATGACATTATCTGCACTGGCTGTGAAAATACAGATTGCAGGGTTTTACAGCTATATGGAAGTGTTCTGGGCAAAGGGGTCTGGTCTTCTTTGAAAGAGGTAGTGTCAAGAAGGGTATGGAGCCTGGAAAAATGGAGAATTAGTTCTGAAAGGAGATGCAGTTCATCTTCTGAAACTGGAAAAATATGTCTGACTTCCAATTTCAGCTCCTAGGCTTTGTGTTAGTCACTTTTCATTGCTGACATTGTTGACATAACATTGTTTTCTGACAAAAACAAGTTGGGGGATGTGGGGGAAAGAATATAGAAGGTCATTGGATTAGGCAAAGAAGAATGAAAGGAAGGGAAGGGGTGATGAAAATAGGAAAGACAGTAGAATGAATCGGACATAACTTTCCTATGTTCATATACAAATACGTGACCAGTGTAGTTCCGCATCATGTACAACTACAAGAATGGGAAATCATACTCCATGTATGTATAATAAGTCTAAATACACTCTACTGCCATGTATATCTAAAAAGAATTTTTTAAAGACCTAAAAAAAAAAGTTAGAAGAGGCAAATTTTATTTTGGGGTCACCATTTCAGAGATTCAGACCATCATCAGAAGACTCCATTGCTCTGAGTCTGAGGTGAGGCAGAACACCATGGCAGAAGGGCATGGCAGAGGAAAACGGCTCAGCTTATGGCAGCCAGGAAGCAGAAAGAGAGGTGCCAGGGACAAAATAAAACTCCAAAGACGAGCCCCCAGTGACCTCCTTCCTCCAGCTTTACCCTACCTGCTTATAGTTACCACCTTGTATAGTAGTACCTTCATATTATTAATCCATCAAATTGGTTAACCATTGATGAGGTTACAGCTCTCATAATCTCCTCATTTCAACTATGAACATTTTTGCACTGTCTCACACATAAGCTTTCAGGGACATCTCATATCCAAACCCTAATAGGCTTGTTAAAAGGAAAATTCCCTAGGCCAATTAAATTTAGTAGAGATTATTTGAATAAAGCAAAACAAAAGAAAAACAGTTTGTAAATCAGGCAGCTCCAAGAATCAAAGTGAGTTTTAAGAACTCTAGTCACCAGTATGAACAGACACTATTGATAGGAAAGCAGAAATGAGGCATAGAAAACTGGCTATACCCTAGTCAGTCAACCAGTCAATTGAATACATTTAAAATAATTATCTATAGTGTAGTAAGTTAACTGGCTAATATAGGGCCTTCTGCACCCAGCTAAAACTTGGTTATGTAATTAGACTTTATTGGGTTGGTCTGTGGATCCATTGTAGGAGCCCAGTCCAAATTCTTTTTAGATACACATGACAGTAGAGTGTATTTAGACATATTATACATACATGGATTATAATTTCCCATGGCCTTACACAAATTCTGTTTAACAGGCTTATCAGTGATGTGACTCTGGGTAGTTCACTTCATTTCTCTGAGCTTTAGCCTTCTGTTCTATAAAATGGGGGTAATGGTTCATTGTAAAAGGAGGTAAAGTTCATTGTAAGGATGGAATGAGATGATCATGAGAAGGTTGTGGTCCTATACATGGCACATAGGAGGTACTCTTCCTGTGGTGGCCCTACTTTTCTCCTGTCTCTCCAGGCCCTTGTGCTTTTGAACATGGCACTGAACCTCTTCTCATTGGCACTAGAAATGAACTTAGCACTTTTGAGGCCTGAGTTATCTTGAGTTAACCTGAATTGACTAATGTAGTCAATTCTGAGCCCATAACCTGTTGGGACTGAGAACAGCCTGATGGGTCACATATGAGGGAAGGCAAGCCCATAACTAGTGGTACACAAGGTCAGGGGAAGAAGCTATCACTGTAGGATAGGCCTTCAACCACAGGGAGCAACTGGCAAAGAGGAGAGTTCAGATGTTCCCTGTTTACCCAATCTAGAATTGAGTATTTGAAGCCATTAAGGCAGAGGGAGATGGGTTTGAAGCCAAAGGTAGGACCAGGACTGCTGGGCAAGGTATCAGATAGCCTGTGAGCTGAAGTAAGGAATTATCCTGGAGGATAGTCCTTGGAATGTAGGGTTAGCTTAGTGGGCCACGTGATTGGGATGGAACAGCAAGGATGGACTAGGGGAGGAGGTTCCTGAAGGGAGGAGCAGAAATGAGAAAAACAGAGAGCTGGATCACCCAGAGGTATCTGAATAGCAGCAAAGGAGGGGCACTTATCTAGAGGGGAGGCCTTGAGAAGATGTAGAAGATTGGCTGTGGGCTAAGGCACGGAGTGGGTGGTGGTAAAATCTTCCACCTAGATATTTCAAGAATGGAAGAGTGAGGTGAGTTCCCTTTCTGGAGAGTATTAAGATCTGGGAGCCTTGTATGATAAAGGGGATTTTTTTTTTTTTTGGTAGCAGGGATTGAACCCAGGGGCACTTAATCAATGACCCCCATCACCATCCCATTATTCATTTATTGAAAATTTTTTATTTAGAGATAGGTTTTTACTAGTTGCTTAGGGCCTTGCCGAGTTTCTGAGGCTGGTTTTGAACTTGCAGTCCTCCTGCCTCAGCCTCCTGAGCTGCTAGGATTATAATCATGTGCCACTGTGCCCAACAAAGGTGATGAATTCTAACAGCCATTTCCCCTCAGAAAGCTGGATCTTTTTCAATCGTGGTCTGATGAGAAGCTCTGGCAGCTAGTAACCTTGGGGAAGATAGAGAAGTACTCATATGGGCAGCTGATCGAAAAAGACTTTGTTGAGTCCTCCTTCGTCATGTTGATCTGCAAGGTGAGAAGTCTGGGGTTGGAGATGAAGCTGGGAAGTGTGTATCCAGCATAGTGGCCTGTGGCCAGACAGGCAGTGTTTGAGTCCTGTTCCTTTTCTGACTTACCATGTCCTAACTGGAACGGGCAAGCATCAACTTCACATCATGTTGAATGTGAAGGGTTGCTGTAAACTTTAGGATATATAGTAGTACCCTATTATGGGGGGGAGATACATTCCAAGACCTCCAGTAGATGTCTGAAACTGTGGATAGTACCTAACCCTCTTTGTATTGTGTCTTTTCCTATACATATGATAAAGTTTAATTTATAGATTAGACACAGTAAAATATTAATAATAATCATAAAATAGAATAATAATAACATACCATAATGAAAGTTATGAGATTGGATTGTGCTCTATTAAAATATGTTATTGTACTTATGTAACTCTTACTGTGATGATGTGAGATGGTACTTTTAAAAAGCTCTTTATAGATTCTCTTTAGCATATTTGAATTACCATCATCACTTCTCTTCTGCTTTGAGACTATTATTAATAAAATAAAAGTTATTTGAACACAAACACTGTGATTCTGGGACATTCAATCTGATAACCAAGACAACTTACAAGTGACTAACTGGGTAACATGGAAATGCTGGACAAAAGGATGGGTCACATCCTAGGAAGAACAGAGCAGGACGGCAAGAGATTTAATCATGTTACTCAGATTACAAATTGTATATTTTTGGAAATTTTCATTTGATATTTTTATACTATAGTAAACTGTAGGTAACTAAAACTACAGATAAGATCTTTGGCCATGCTTTACATGCTTTAAATCATTCCAGTCTCACAATAACCCAAAGAGGTTAATATGGTCATTATTCCCATTTAATAGAGGAGGAAACTGATATATGGGAAGGTAGAGTGGCTATCCAATGTCACACAGTAGATGTAGTAGGGTTTTTTGTTGTTGTTGTTGTTTTTTCAGCACAGTCTGTGACTCCAGAGCTCTTCTCAGGAGCTGGGATTTGAGTTGACCTGTCATTCCTTACATGTTAAGCCACTACAGATATTTGTTGAGTCTTTGCCAAGGTCATGACACATTAGTACAGGATCTGAAGGGCTACAGAGAGGAAAAAACTGGTCCTCTCTTTTATATAATCTCCTCCACTAGATCAGAGCATAGACAAAGTTGTCAATGCCAGTACTAAGCGACAGGTGCACACTGAGTTCTAAGAATTCAGAAGAGGGAACTCTCCAAAGGCTGGAGGCCTTAAGTCAGGCTTCCTGTAGGATGTAAGGAAGATGATGAGCCTTGAAGGTATTGAACCACTGGACAAAAGGAGGGGGCAAGATTGGGTGTGTACTAGAGTTGGCTTATACCTGCCTGTAAGAACTGATTGTCAAATTTTCAGAGTTGGTAAACACAGTACTTATTAAAATTATATAAGCCTATAATTAAATAAATTATATTGGAATTAAAGGTATTACCAAGAACTCACCATTCTCTAATGTTGCTGCATTTTACTATTATCTATGCTCTTTAGGTCATGTCGTCTATATCTGTATAGTAGAAATAACTTTATAATTGTGTGCCTCTTCCCAACTCCACATTCAGTAACTCACATTGCTAACTTAAAATCAGGCATGGTGGTACTATTCATACAGTGAGAATCAACAAATACCCTAAGTCAGGTCTGGTATACTGGTATACATTCCCAGTATTTTATTCATCATGGAACTTACATCTTTGATGAACAAGTGAAGTTCTGAAATACGTAGTGTTAAAACTAAAACAAGTTTCAATGTAATGAATATAATATATGTGAAGATGGGAAATAGTTAAATAGTAGATCACAAATAAGATTTAGTACTATTAAACTTATTGGGAAGGGTGGATTGGGATGCAGTTTCATTTGTCAAATCATAGTTGAACTTCAACTATAGTTTGGTCATCAATACAGGAGTCCAGCCAGTACCCACAAAAGCATCCTTAAGAATTGATTGGTTATGTGGAATTGCCAGTAAGACTGTAGTATATTTTATTATAAATTTTGGTGATACATCACTTATATAGCAGTAAAATTTACAAACATTGTTATATTTTTCCAGAGGGCCAAGTTGTTAAACCTACCACACCACTAGGAGTGTGTTATTCTGGGTTCAGTCCTGGAGAACAGAATCAAGTTTATCTAATATAAATAGAAAGGCATTTTATTGCAGGATGATAAATTGTAACAGATTTTCTGGTGAGTGGAGTGGTGGGGAACTATAGAAACAGACCATGGACTAAAAATGACTCCAAGACAACTCCAAATCATAGGCCAGAACTGGACTGTCACAGGTACTACTGTCCTTGCCATGTTCAAGAAGCCACTCCTTCAGGCCCCACCTCCAGTAACAAGTGGATTGCTGGTACCTCCAAACTCAAACCTGGTCCAGGTACACTGAATTGGTGGAACCCAAATCACATCCAGAACATTTACTTCAAGGAAGCTTGGGAAATTAAAAGAAAGATTGTCTTTCATTCTCTACAAATTAAAAAAGAGTTGGGCCTTTACAAAGGGAGGTGGGATGAGGTCATTGCCAGCTGAGGGGAATAGTGTGGAGCCATACACACAGTAGGAATATGCCTGGGGTTTACCTAAGTTTGGAAACTCCTAATGATCATCTGAGGAGAGGTGGGAGATGGGTTGAAAAGTCTAGAATCAGAGAACCATGAAAGCCAACTGAATAATTCACATTTTTTTCTGCTCTCTGTTATCTGCTACTTCTTTACTAAAATTTTAAGGTATTCACCTCTGCAGCCATGAAATGCCACAGATCCCCAGACAACTCTCCTTTTTTTTTTTTTTTTTTGTACCAGGGATTGAACTTGGGGGCACTCAACCACTGAGCCACATCCTTAGCTCTTTTTTGTACTTTATTTACAGACAGGGCCTCACTGAGTAGCTTTAGCAGATGGCTTTTGCTGAGGCTGGCTTTGAACTCTATCCTGAGCCACAGGGATTGCAGGCATTACAGGCACAAGCCTGGCTTCCTTTTTTTTTTAATTTAAATTTTTTTTGGTACCAATCCCGAGCCTTCTAAATGGGTTTTATCAGATTTTTTTTTAATTTTGTATTTCTTTGGTACCAGAGATTGAGCCCTTTACCACTGAACTGGATCCCCAGCTCTTTTTAATTTTTCACTTTGACATGGGGTCTTACTAAGTTTCTGTTGGTGTTACTAAGTTGCTGAGGCTGACCTTGAACCTGTGATTCTTCTGCCTCAATCCTTCTGAGTCACTAGGATTACAGGTGGGCACCACCATGCCCAGTTTCAGCTCTTTCCATAGAGCCAGAATAAATTGAGGGGGGGATGAGTGATGAGGAATATAAAATTCAAGACTTCTTTTAATTAGTATGTTGATTACATTCAAATTAGCACATAGATGGGGGTGGTTCTTAATCTGTTTTTACCTCTATTCCTTTATCTGTAAAATGGGACCACTCACCTCATAAATTCTGGTAATGAAAATTAATTTAGCACATACTTACTCAGTTAACATTCATACACTAGTTCATTGGTTCTCAGTGACTAGACCATCAGCATCACTTGGCTATCAGCATCACTGATTAAAAATGCAAATTCTCAGGCTCACACAGGAGCTATTAAATCCAGAACTCTGGGAGGGAGGGCTCAGTAACCTGTGTCTTATCTAGCCTTCCAGATGACTCTGATGCACACTTAAGTTGTAGAATCCCTAATCTAAGGGAGGTGTTTTCAAATTTTGGTAATGAAGAAAAGGTTTTTTTTTTTTATGTGGTGCCGAGGATCGAACCCAGGTCCCGCCTGTGCTAGGTGAGTGCTCTACCGCTGAGCCACAATCCCAGCCCCTAGCCCCTCAGGTGCTTTTTATTTTTTAATTTTTTAAAATAATTTTTTAATATTTATTTTTTAGTTTTTGGCGGACACAACATCTTTATTTGTATGTGGTGCTGAGGATCAAACCCAGGCCCCACGCATGGCGCTACCGCTTGAGCCACATCCCTAGCCCCCCTCGGATGTTTTTTAAAAAGGCAGATTCCTATCTCTGCAGAGATTTGTTCATTACTGTGGAATCTGCAGTGGAGTGAGTGCTACAGGTGATTCTAATGGAGGGGAGCTTGGGCTTCATTCTGATAAAAGAAATAACAGAGGTCACAGAGTGACAGCAGGTTAGGGGGTTCTTATTTCTTAGCCAGCAGATGAGTTTGGTTTGTCCTTTTATATTACTAAAATCTGATTTAATCATTCATGTGAAGCTTGTACATAAACATTTTGTTTACTAACTTTGAAATTCAGAAGATCAGAAAACACCAGGATGTATTCTGGTATGGCCCACTATGGTTGGAACTGAAAAGTGCCTGTGCCATTTAAAAGGACTTCTCTTTTTTCTCACTTTTATTTCCTGCCTGGTCAGTGCCTTGAGTGTTCTTCCTCTGGGAGGGAGACTCCGCAGTCCTGATTACTGTATTTTTCTTATACTGCCACCAGAGGGCGAAATCAGCAGCTGGGCATCCTTCGGACTGCAGAAAGTCAGAAAATGTGATTTCCTGCTGGCGTCACAAATATAATGTCCATAATCAATTTGTTCTGAGTAGCTTATCATTTGGGGACACATGGTAAAACTGATCTCTCCACAGATACTGCTGCAATTTTAAGACCCACAAGAGACTTTTCCAAGAGCAAACTGTTCTCATTTTTTGTAAGGCACCTATAGTTCCTGGGTGATGAATGTTTGTTGAATGAATGTTGAGTAAAGATCCAAGCACAATGCCTGGCATATAATAAGGCTTATTAAATGTTTATTCCCTTCTTCTTCCTTGCCAACAGTAATTTGTCTTGAAACTTGCCCCTTTATAATGTGTCTCCTAGAGTTTCAACTAAAATTTTTTTAAAAATAGGAAATTAAAAAAGAGATGACATTTCTTTCTAACCTGTCAGATTAGCAAAGATTAAAAGGATTGTAAAAACCCAGTGTTGGCAAATATGCAATGAACTGTTTCATGGACTGTTGAGGGAATAAACAGAGCTTATCTTTGTGGGAGGCAGTTTGGCAATGTGTATCAAAATTTAAAACACACATACCTTTAGGAATTATTCTCAAGAAGATAATAAAACATGGGTATTATTTAGGATATAATTCTCAAGTCTCAGGAGTAATGAACCAAGGTTTTCTCCATTACACTACTTGCCCATAGCGGGTCATCAGGGAGGTCTTGCTCCTTTTGGTCACTTAAGGGCCAAAGCCACTGGAGACTAATAGACTCCTGCTTGCATGATCAAGGAAGCATAGACATTCTCAGGAGAAAGGAATGTTGAGAATCGGCAGTAGGGCTAGGGTTGTATCTCATGGTAGAGTGCTTACCTAGCATGTGCAATGGTCCTGGGTTTAATCCCTAGAATAGAGAAAGAAGAGAGATGAGAATCAAGCACTGACCTCTAAAGTTTCCACTCAAGAGTATCAAGAGTCCTTTTGCTAGAAAATCTAAGAAAATTGACCCAAGCAAATAAAAAGGCTATGCCCTAGGCCCAATTCATCAGAGGGTTAAAAAGTCCAATCCTGCCATGTGCCTTCGAGAAATTGAGTATTTGTAAACTGCTTTAATGTCCTCCTGTAGGACACAAAATATCTGTTAGAATTGCTCTCTGATACAGGCCACAGAAGCCAATTGCAAGTGGCTTATTAAATAGTAATTTATTTTTCTCATGTAATAGTCTTGAATGAAGCATTCTGGGACTAGAACAACTGTTCTAGAAAGTCATCAGGATTTCAGGCCCCTGCTAGCTTTTCCCTTCCTGATCTCTAGCTGTGGCTTTCTTTTCCTTTAAAATATATTTTTAGTTGTTGATGGACCTTTATTTTATTCATTTATTTGTATGCAGTGCCGAGACTCAAACCTAGTGCCTCCGCACCTGTGGCTTTCTTTCTTTCTTTCTTTCTTTTTTTTTTAAAAAAAAGAGCAAATAGGGGATTTGAGCAAGCATGAAAGGCAGAAGGGTGGGAAGTGTGGAGATCATTTTATTTTTTTAAAGAGAGAGAGAGAGAGAGAGGGAGAGAGAATTTAAAAAAAAATATTCTTTTAGCTGAAGATGGACCCAATATCTTTATTTATTTTTATGTGGTGCTGAGGATCGAACCCAGCGCCTCGCACATGCCAGGCGAGCATGCTACTGCTTGAGCCACATCCTCAGCCCCTGGCTTTATTTCTAATGTTCACAGTATGGCTGTTTCACCACCAACCATCACATTTGTGTTTCAGGCAGAGGGAAGGAGAAGGACAATAGCTTTCCTGGGAGTCTTTCACTTATATTTCATTAGCTAGAACTAGGTCATTGGCACCCCACTAGATGAGTCTGGGAAGGTGATTGAGTTCTCTCCCCTCCCCATTTAAACTTGGGACTTTTCTGTCCTAAACAAATTATAGTTGTATATAATACTGACCAATTGAGACAATCAAATATGAATCTTGAAAAAAATGTTTTCTAGAGAAATAACCTATATGCAGTAAGATTTCAAATCTAAACTATACAACTTGGTAATTTTTTGCATATGTGTTCACAATGTAATCCTTACCCCAGGCTAGCTAAAGAACATTTACAGCACTACAGAAGGCCCCCTTGTGCCCTTCTCAGACAGAATTCTCCCATGGAGATAACCACTCTTATGACCGGTGTCATTCACAGATTGCTTTTGCCTGTTTTTGAACTTCATATAAAATAGAATCATTCAGTTTGTACACTTGGCATTTTGATTGACTTCTTTTGCACAATTGAGTATTTGTTTTTAATTTTATAAACTATTGTATATATAGAATAATATCTAATCATTAAAAAATCATGATGCATAAAATATTTTTGGCATGAGAAGATGTCCTTGATATATTATTGATCTTCCAAAAAGGTTACAAGAGTCTGTGTTACATAACTCATTTATGAACATTTGTATGTTTATAATTCGTATGTGTTCATAGAGAAAAGTTTGAAATAACATTTCATAATATATTGCTACTAGTTATTTCTGGGTGTTAGGATTAATGTGGTTTTAACTTAATCTTATTCTGCTTGGTTGAATAATTTTATTTAATTTTGGAATAATTTTAAATTTATAGAAAAATTTCAAGAATAGGACAAAGAACTCCTGAAAAACTGTAATCCAGATTCACCAGTTAATATTTTGCTACTTTTGCTCTTATATATATTTTTTTCCTCACCTGAAACTTTTAAAAGTTAAGTATCATTCATAATACTTAAATGATTATTTTCTAAGATAAAAATTAACTACCGAATAATTACCAAAATTAGAGACTTTTTTTCAGGGGTGGGGATACCAGGGATTAAACTTACAGGCATTTGGCCACTGAACCACATCCTCAGCCCTATTTTGTATTTTATTTAGATACAGGGTCTCACTGAGTTGCTTAGTGCCTCGCTTTTGCTGAGTCTGGTTTTGAACTTACGATCCTCCTGCCTCAGCCTCCCAAGCCACTGGGATTACAGGCGTGCGCCACCACATCGGCCAAAATTAGGGACTTTTAATGTTTATAGAATATATAATATGGAGTTCATAATCAGTTTCACTGACTGTCCCAGTAATGTCCTCTGTGGTGATATTTTTTCCCCAGTGCCAGCCTTGTATTTAGTTTCTATGCTTCTGTAGTTGTTTGGATTTTTTCTGATAAGTAAATAACATTTTTATTAAGGAAAAAAAAACATGAAACAACTTGCATTAAGCAAATACAACAAACTGGGGTAAGATGCAATATAGAGAGTTTATCTTTAAAGCCTGGCTTGCCTAGAGTATTGGGGTTTAATCCTTTGTTTGTGACCTTTGGTGTGTCCAGGGCAGCTGTGAAGTCCTGCGGCTGATAGACCTTCAGACCTCCCCTTACTATTACAAGTGGATCTGGCAGCATCTGGAGCTGATAGATGACAGACCTCTAGGGACTCATCTCAATGGTAAGCCAGATGGCCACCTCTGGAAGCTGACAGCCACGGTAAGGGAGCCCCTGGGCCCTATCCTGGTTCCAGTTCCCTGTCCCTAGATTCCTAAACATCTAGATCTCGGGGTAGGGTTGTAGCTCAGTGGTAGAGCACTTGCCCAGCACATGTGAGGCACTGGGTTTGATCCTCAACAGCTCATAGAAATAAATAAATAAATGGGGGCTGAGGATATAGCTCAGTTAGTAGAATGCTTGCCTTGCATGCACAAGGCCCTGGGTTCAATCACCAGCACCACCAGCTGGGGGAAAAAGGTATTAGGAACATCTACAGCTAAAAATAAAAATGAAACATTTAGAGCTCTAAGAGCCAACAGGTTGTCTGATTCTACCAGTGTCAAAACCTGGTCCACAGGCCTTGCCTCCTTTCTAGCCTTCTCTCTTCCTCTCTGCAGGTTCTGCCATGTAGCCATCAACTCTTTGCCTTCGCACATACACATCCCTCTTTTTGCCCAATTTTCTTCTACTTTTTAGATTTTAAACTAAATATCTTTTTTTTTTTTTTTTAGAGAATTCTCCCTGATTTCTCATGCTAGATCAGCATCTTCTTTTCCTCATTGTATTCCATTTAAATACCCTGTATTTCTCTTCTGTCATATTTAGCCCCACTGAAATAATAGCATTGAATCTAAAATGGTTCTTGAATATGTTTTTCCCTAGAATTTAAGCTCAGTAAGGATTTTGTATTCCTAGGGCCTAGGACTAGCCTGGCATCTAGAGGCTAGTCAGAAGCAACTCATATTCAATGGATTAACATATCCTAGGTGCTACATTCCAAATTGCAAAGTGTGCACACACTACAGAGCCTTATCCAAACTCGTAATTATGAGGAACAGGTATCAATCACTGAGTTCTGATTATTTGTGAAGTATCCAGGTGGCTGTTTCTACATATTACATCATTTTCATAATAGCTTTTCAAAAAGATATGATTGTATTTTCGTTTTACAGATTTGAAAACCAAGGCTCAGAAAGGTGAATTTCTTATTTAAGGATCACAAAGGATAAAAATAACAGTGGAGAACTTTAGAGTTCTGGCCTGATTCCAAATTGCAGACTTTATTCTTCATAAATATCTCCAGTCTTTCTCTTTCTCCATTCCCACTGTTGGACACAGACATTGTCTGATAATAGCCTATAGAACTGGCCAAGGTTCTGACCAGGTTTCCTTATTCAAGGGCAGGATTTTTCTATTCACATCTCAGTTATGGCATTTTCCTTTCCTTTTCCAACCTCTGGAGATTTTTGTTTTGTTTTGTCTTATCCACTTGGGTCAGAAACCCCAGCCCTAAGACATTTGTAATGGTTCAGGTGTTTTACATCTTACCTTGGACTAAGTGCTGACATGCTTCCCACTAATCCTTTTATGTTATAATTTCAGCATTAACCTGGGCTCTTCTCCCCAAGGATCACCTCACAGATGCAGCCAAACCTCCTAAATTCTAATCTTAGGAAGTCTGGCTATGGGGAGGCTAACACAGGGAGACAGAGGAGAAAGGTGGGGAAAAAAAGCTTGGAACTGAATCCCACTTACTAGCTGGGTAACTTTGGTGAATATTCAAGGTTTCAGACCCTGGTTTCTTTGTATCTATCATGGCTAATGTTGTAGTTAAGATGGCGGCCTCAGGAGCCACATCACTTACGTTTGAATACAGGGTCCTTCTCTAATTATCTGTGTTATGCTGGAAAAGTGACTCTTTGACCCTATGCATTATTTGATTCAAAATAAATTTTTAATTTTTTTTTATTTTTTAGGTGTAGATGGACACAACACAATGCCTTTATTTTTATGTGGTGCTGAGGATCGAACCTGGGTCCCACCTGTGCTAGGCAAGCACTCCACCCCTGAGCCACAATCCCAGCCCGATTCAAAATACTTCTAAATTCCCCTTTTGATTTCTTCTTTTTGAACAATTGAGTGGACACAACATCTTTATTTTATTTTTATGTGGTGCTGAGGATTGAACCCAGCGCCCCTGCATGTGCCAGGCGAGCGAATTACCGCTTGAGCCACATCCCCAGCCCAGTACATATATTTGAAATGTGTAGTTCAATGAATTGTGATAAATCCATACCCCCACGTAACCACCAAAGCCAAGTTATAGAACATTTTCATTGCCCCAGAGAGTTCCCTTGTGCCATTTCCCAGTTAATCTCCACCTCTTGCACCTGGCCGTAAGCAACCACCAATATGCTTTCTGTCACTATAGGTTAAATTTGTCTCTCTTTAGAGTTTCATAAAAATGGAATTATGATGTAAACTCTTTGTCCTACTTCTTCATTAAGCATAGTGATTTTGAGTAGTTGGCTTGCCTTCTTATTTTTAAATAGTATTTCTTTGGAGATCTTTTCAATAATTTGCATAGAGGTCCTTTTGTATGCTGGTACTGTGCTAGGTATCTCATACTTTATTGGCAACTCTTAAAATAACCCTACCAAAGCTATAAAAGAGATTATGTGACTTGTCCAAGGTTCTGGGACAAGTCATCCAGTCATCCTTTTATCTTTTATTGCTCTTCCTGCCCCAATCTGAAAGCCCAGTATGAAAGCTGAGATAAGTGTTATCTATTAATCTTGAAGATATGAACTTTTTTTTTAAAGAGAGAGGGAGAGAGAGAGAGAGAATTTTAATATTTATTTTTTAGTATTTGGCGGACACAACATCTTTGTTTGTATGTGGTGCTGAGGATCGAACCTGGGCCGCATGCATGCCAGGCGAGCGTGCTACCGCTTGAGCCACATCCCCAGCCCCAAGATATGAACTTTGAATTAAGTAGATTTGAGTTCAAATCCAAGCATCAGCCCTTTTATCAGTGATTGAACTCTCGGTTCTTCATCTTATGTCTAATTAGGCTAATCGCACTTGCCTGGATGAAGTGGCTAGAAAAGGTCTAGCACAGAGCCAGCCATAGAGGGACATTACATAAAGTCCATGTATTGCACGTTTATTTATTTATTTATTTATTTATTTTGGTGCTCGAGATTGAACCCAGGGGCACTTAACCACTGAGCTACATCTTCAGCACCCCCCTCCTTTTAGTTGCTGATGGACCTTTATTTTATTTATATGTGGTTCTGAGAATCAAACCCAGTGCTTCACACATGCTAGGCAAGCACTCTTACCACTGATTTACAACCCAGCCCATCCACCCCATTTTTTAATATTTATTTAGAGACAGGGTCTCACTGAGTTGCTTAGGGCCTCACTAAGTTGCTAAGGCTAGCTTTGGACTTGTGATCCTCCTACATAAGCCTCTCAAGCCTCTGGGATTATAGGCATGTGACATTGCACTGGGTGAAGCCACACATATTTTTCTTTTCTTCTCAATTTCTTCATGTACCAGACTATGCAGGCAGGTTACTATGCTGTATTTCCACCACCAACAGCACTACCACTGCCATATATGCAAAGGCCCATTAATGTGCTTTTCTGTGCTTTCTCTAACAGAAACGAATCCTGTAATGAGATTTAGGGAATTCCAGATCAAATCATATCCTCTACAGGACTTTAGCTGTTTGAAACTTCTGCATCTCCAGGAATCCTGGAAGCAACAGGAGACAAGCTTCAATAAGACAATCAAAACCTCAGGAGATAGTCTCCCCAAGTTGCTGGGCCCGAAGATCAAGTAAGCTCAGCTCTTGGCAGATAGAGGGGCCCCGATTGTGGTTATAATGTGGGGGGGGATATGACTTCCTTGGCAGAACATCAGAGATGCTGAGGCGGAAATATAAGTGGCAGATCCAGGTTATTCTCAAAGGAGTAGGTGTGTCCCTGAGGCAGCCTAGACAGGTCCTAGGCTTAATACCCAGGCCTTGTATTCTCTGCTTCTAACAAAAAGGTACACTTTAAGAAGTCAACTACTTCTTTTATCAGGGCCTCAGTAACCTATATAAGGAAGAGGAGGCAGAAAGTATCTTCTGTATCTGTGTGTTGTTGGGTCTTTTCTCTGAGTTTCTTCAGAAAATTCTACCTAAGAGAGGCAGAAATACAGCTGTTTACTGTTTATCAAAGGAGTCTGTTCCATTTTCAGACAGCTTTTTTAAAAAATATTTTTTTTAGTTGTAGATGGACACAATGCTTTTATTTTATTTTATTTGTTTGTTTATTTTGTGGTGCTGAGGATTGAACCCAGGGCCTCAAATGTGCTAGGCAGGTGCTCTACTACTGAGCTACAATCCCAGCTCCTCAATCAGCTTTGACTCTTAGAAATTTTTTTCTCTAGGTTGGGCATGGTGGCACAAGCCTATGATCCCAGTGGTTCAGGAGGCTGAAGCAGGAGGATTATGAGTTCAAAGCCGCCTCAGCAACTTAGGCCCTGAGCAACTTAGCGAGACCCTGTCTCAAACTAAAAATAAAAAGGGCTGGGGATGTGGCTCAGTGGATAAGCACCCCTGGGTTCAATCTCTAGTAGCAAGAAAGAAAAAAGAAAAATTTCTCCCTCCATATGAGCTTTGAATCTCATAGACTAGAGCTGCAACCGGTTCTTTATTGGATAAATAAACTCTTGCCTAGAAAGAAGTCTAATAAGTCTGGCTTAGCCATATAGGATCATCAACCCCTTCACATAACAAACTTCAGGTGTTTAAAGGGAACCTCACATCTTTGTTTTTCAAGTCTTCTTCCTATTACACTTCTAATCCCTGACAATGGGCTTGATTTTTCTTATATTCTGGAAGGTGTGTTCTTCAGGGAGGGAAGCTCTCAGTATAGAATAGAGTAAGGGCTGATTATTTAGGGTCTCATGAACTGGCTGTGTTATAAATGAGTTCTCTTTAACAAACTGTCATGTTTCAGATCCAAGCATGCTCAGTCGATCCAGTGTCCCATGGTTAATACTCAGTTTGGTGAGCTCCCTAAGGAGGCTGTGGTGGGGGCCTACATGAAGATCCACACTGTGGAAGAAGGAGAAATTGTGGTAAGTGTACAGAGAGCTTTGTTCATGATACAGTGTGTAACATGAATGGGCTAAGAGTGTTGAATATGAAAGTAAAGGTTTAGAAACACCCCCTCTCTGTATTTAATGAGATTAAGATATAGAGTTGATTTTTAGCCAAGTGTGGTGGCATATGCCTATGATCCAAGTGACTCAGGAGAATGAGGCAGGATGATTGCAAACTCAAGTCCAGCCTCAGCAATTTAGTAAGACCTTATCTCAAAAAATAAAAAAGGCTGGTAGTATAGCTCAGTGACAGAGCACCACTGAGTTCAATCTCCAGTACTGCACCAAAAAAAAAAAACAAAAAAAACCACAAAAATCATTGATTTTTAAGATATGATAAAAGTATTGTGGCTCTTGTTTTTAAGGAGTTCTATATTGAAGAAAAGCATATTAAAATATCTATAAATAAATTGACATGTCAGCTGGGAGCTTTAGAATATCCAAGAGTGTTAAGGCAAAGATGTTGCCTCTCATCACTCCTATTCATCATTGTATTGAAAGTCTGAGCCAGTAGTACAGTAAGACAAGAAAAGGAAATAAAAAGGTATACAGATTGAGAAGAAAGAAAGTTATTTTTGTTTGCAGATGACATGATTGTCTGCGTCCACAGTTCCAAAGAATCCAAAACACTTCTGAAAGTAATAAGAGATTATAGCAAGATGGAAAGATACAAGGTTAATATATAAAAGTCAGTTGTTTTTCTTCTACCAGCAATGAAAACTGGAACTTAAAATGAAAACCATTTATAATAGCACAAAATGAGGGGCTGGCATTGTGGCTCAATGTTAAGAGTGCTTGCCTAGCATGCATGAGACACTGTGTTTGCTCCTCAGCACTGCATAAACGTCCACCTAAAACTAAAACTAAAAAATAAATATTTAAAAAAAATGAAATGGATAGGTATAAATCTAACAAAATATACGCCAATCTACGTGCAGGGGCTGGGGATGTAGTTCAGCAGAGGAGTGTATGCATGGCATGCACAAGGCCCTGGGTTTAATCTCAGCAACACATACACACACACACACACACACAC